ACTAATACATGATGATAAAAAAATTGCCGGGAAACCGCCTACTAATTCATATATTTGGTAAATTTGTTTCTCTCATGGTCTGTGAGAGATATAGGGTAGTCCCATATACATCTTTCTGTGTATAGTGCTTGTAACTTTACGAAGAATGGGCCAAATTTCTTATCATTTTGATGATTCCAGAACCTTGCAGATGCTAGATGCTAGATGATCAACCTTTTCTGATCGATTCCACAACGTTTCTTTCACAATGCAATCGCATGACCATAACTGGTCTTTACCTTTAACTACTTCAAATAGAAATCGAAAAACCGTTAACTGGCAGTCTGGTACTAGTTTCAGCTTCTTGGTCGCAGTATCCTATACAACTTATAATATCTGCAGTACATCGCTTCATTCAGGTTGCTTATATTCCTTTTCATTTGGGATTTTATATATAAGTCTGACAAATTTGGGGCTGCCCAAGTACATGTACATTACCACCCCTCGATGTATACATTTCCTACCCGTTTATCAAATGATGAATACGCCCGTGATGGGGGCTCCATATTCCGAATGTTAGTTTTCTAATTTATATTTAGATCACATGACTGTCATATACGAGAGAGCTTTGTAAGTTTCACTGAACCCCCCCCCCCCAAACAAAAAATAGCAAAAATAACATGAAATTATGGACCTTTGTTCTAAAAATGTTGTTACATCAAGTAAAGGGGCCAGTCTGTCGTGAACCTTAGGCTAAACGAAATTTGGGGGACATCGAACTTATTATTGCCGTCAAAATAAAAATCAAAGATACCATTTTTTAGTCAAGACCCCAAGCAAGTCAGGGTATAGGAACTCGTCAAGTCGAAAAGGCCGACCGCAAATCTTCCAGGGCTTTCGGCAAAATTCAGGGTCTAGGGCCTTTTTTTACAGCCTTGTGGGCAAAGAAAAAAGAAATATAAGGCCCTCCCATCTAATTTTTTTTTATCTATCATTTCAAATTGCATCTTGGCTCGACGGCTGTTGTTCAATCCCCTTTCCATGACTCGGTATGTTCGCTATACGCCCCTTGATCTCAATATGTTCGCTATACGCCCCTTGATCTCAATATGTTCGTTATACGCCCCTTGATCTCAATATGTTCGCTATACGCCCCTTGATCTCAATATGTTTGCTATACGCCCCTTGATCTCAGTATGTTCGCTATACGCCCCTTGATCTCAGTATGTTCGCTATACGCCCCTTGATCTCAGTACATCGAACTTGGAAATGTTTCCTCATGTTTTTCTCTATGCTCGTCTGAAAGATAAGTTTACAGATTCCAGCCCTGCGGGATATTTGTTTAGTATTGTACTATGCATAGCACGATGTGTGTGCTCTAGTGCGTTGACATGGTCGAGGAAGAAGGAAAAAAAGAATTTCTTGAAACGAGTTTCGATGTCGCATTTCAAGGTCTTGAAAAGCTCTCAAATCATCAGATGTTTGATAAATGGAAATAATCGAGGCTATCACCTTATCCTAGCGGATATTTCAACAGGGGTGCCGCAAGACGTCTGTAGGGGTGCTGCGAGAACAATTCAGTTATATGAAAAAAATTTGAATAACCTCAATTTAATGAAAACAGAATCACTTTGTATTTTCATGAGGAAATAACATTTTAAAGACAAGATAGGAAAGTGTTTTTCTTCATCGCTCGCAATATTTATAATCAAGATTATTTCAGGCAGCGAAATGCCTGAATACCTCCATATTTGGGCAACAAGGTCCCCGAACATCATCCTATTTGACAGTGATGGACCCAAATACCTTCATATTCGGGCAGCGAGGTGCCCCAATATATCTTATACTTTCAATATTTAAATAACTTTTCACCTCACACGTTCCCTTCGCTCGCCCGCTACACGTACATGTAGAAACGAGATAATTTTTGAACAACGCGACGCTCGAATATCTTCATATTCGTTTGTGGAGATGACCGAATGGATATTCCTTTTGTATTCATGTATTTGGCAGCGAATGATACTTCTTATCTAGTGTGTTTTTAATACAAAACACAATATTTAAGCCATATCAATTTTTTTTTGCTCGTTCGCTTCGCTCTCTCACAAAATGGATAAAACTAATCTGTCTGTGCGTGTGTACATGGCACTTGGCCCGTACCAGAATGACGCAAAATGATCTTCTCTGATGATTTCGAGATTGGGGTGATGCGAAACTTTTTTATCACTAATAAGGGTACCATGACTTTAAATAAAGTTGACACATGTTGTTTTCTAGTAGACAAGATAAGAATATGTATGATGATTGTGCTAATAGATGCATAATTTTCGTTAAATCCAATGGTAAATGTTACGGGTGATGTCCTTTACGGCGGTTTGGTTCATTTTAATCGTCCGGAGGCACAACCCCCCCCCCCCCCATCATACCTCCAATAAACATGTCGCCGATTTTGGGAGTAAAATAAAATAACATTTCGTATTTTCCCAGTAGATTTAAAGCACACTATCTCCGCTGAAGAAAAGAACTGAGTGTGAGTAATGTTTTTTGTTTGAATAATTTGTATATTCGAATTGATAATAATTCATTTTTCACGATTTCGTAAAAATTCTAAAACCCTTGTATTGTTAATAGAATAAGTATTTATTCAACAGTTTTTGAATGTTTTTTTTTTTTGACGTTATGTAAATTTTTATCACATCATTTCGAAAGAGCCTGAAAAGTGCCGCCTAATATTTGAACGGACCTTAACACGGATTTCGAATACACATACGCAGTGCTGACAAAAGAAGCGTGAGAGCGAGGGGCGAGTAAAGGGAAACAGGCACAATTTCAGACGTGGACAGGGGCAGAGAGATGGAAAGAGGAGAAAGGAAGGAGGGAGAAAGTCATTTCAAAAGAACATTAGTTTACCCATCAGCTTAGTCTAGTTTAAAGATCAACTTTGAAAAAAAAAGGGGCAATAGCGATTAGCGAGCCAATTTGACGGGTGAGCGTACTTCAAGCTTTCATCTTTTATCAAAAGAGTTCATTTATTATATCGCCGCGCCATCCATCTTCCTGTAAACTGCCACGGGGTAGGTACAAATGCTTTGTCAATCTTTCCCACTCATCACGATAACTCAAAATAGTGCAATGTTCTCTCTCTCTAAATCATTCGAGCTTTTATGAGATACTATTTTAATTCAATTTCATGCATATTTACCATGATATCATTCTGTATGCTCGGGGGTAACATATAAGACCTTTTTATGTGATACTCTTTTGTCTTCGAAGAAAGTTATGTCAACATTATTAATTCATATAGGAGCTAAATGTCCTAAATGTTACTTACTCCAGTCGATGTGCATGATAAGTGCAATACAAATAAATTCTTGATTTATTTTGACGGGTATTTGATATACACCTGTCGCCTTCCTCAAAGTTAATGTTCTTTTCAAAAAATAAAATAAAAAAAGAATTGAATTATTTGATACAAATTAGTGAGTTGACTCTGGTTATAATTCTTCATACAAAATCGTTTTGATAAAACAGTGAGAAGGTGTACAGAAGAGCGAGGAGAATGAAGAGAAGAAAGAAACGAGGAGGAGAGAGAGAGAGAGAGAGAGAGAGAGAGAGAGAGAGAGAGAGGGGAGGGGAGGGAGGGGAGGTGGGGGGGGGGGGGGGGGAGACGAGAGAGCAAAGATTATTGGATAAGAAAAAAGAGAAGGAGAAACTAAAGACAATGCATGGAGATTAGACTGTAAGGAAGGGGCACAGGGGGAAGATATTAGGAGGAGGAATGATAAATGAATTCACAATCCAAATATCATTTATAATCCTTGCTATATCAACAAGATTTATATAGCAGTTACCTACAATTTTGTCTGCTTTATAGTGCATATTTACGGACAATCAATTAACAATTATCAGTATGTGCAAGCCTTTGAAAGCTTGATATCTTATCCGCAGGAATTGAAATTAAATGTTATCGGAACTACACAGGATATAATTATGTGAGTGAGGATGAAGGCCTATCACATTTCACCTAAAGTTCACTCCATGCGACCGATATGATCACAGACGCTTTATATCTGAATGTTGCCTACCACATTATTTGCACATATTGTGTCTGTTTATATTCTCCTCTCTCCATCCCGCTTTCCTTAAAGGGGAATTCCACCCTTTGGTTTGAATAAAAACAGAAAAATTAACAGAAACAGATTAGTGAAATATCCGATTAAAAAGTAATACATTTTTTAGGTTTTCATCAGTGAAACACAAAATGGCAACACTGTGACACGTTATCTTGCGAGCTCCTCTACAATTCGCTTTGTACTTTAATTTGTATAAATGATCATTTCTTAGTTATTGACGACTGAATATATTTGTTTCACACAGGGGTTGTATAAAAACATTTTCGGGATGAGTGTATGGTTGAACATGTTCTCAAAGTTTTTTAGTACAGGGCAAATGGGAGTTGCAAAATTGTTCTGTTTTTAATCGGTCTTTAGCTCGAACTTTCACTGATTTGTTTCTGTGACCTTCTTGCTTCTATTAACACCCACTTAATATCAAGGTGGACCCCCCCCCGCCCTTTAGCACCCTCCCTCTCCTCTACCTCATCATTATTATCTTTATTATCTCTACCGATAACCAAAAGGGCCTTTACTTCGGACAAAAGGGAAAGAGAAAGAGGGGTGCATGGGAGACAGACAGACAGAGAGAGAGAGAGAGAGAGAGAGGGGTGAGGGGTGAGGGGGGGGGGGGCGACACAGCAAAATGCATGAGGGGGCCTATGCGCTGGTGATGTGCATGGATTCGAACACCCGACCTCCTGCTTGAAAGTCAATTGCTCGTGACCTGAATAAATGAATGAGATAACCAAACCGATGATGATGACGGTGAATCGTTAAAAGCAGAACCATTATCTAGGCAACATCGGATAATTATAATAATTTGTTCAGTATTGCAGTGTAAATAGAAACAACATGAATTTTTATAAAACAAGACAGAAAAGGAAGAAGTAAAATATCTTAATTTACCATTCGGATCCACATTGCTATGTAGCTGTGTTGCCACGAAATAGTCTAGCTTTTTGACGAACTTTCCCAGGTTATGCCATCCATCTACGAAGGTCGGAAACGTCGGAGGCGGGTCGACCTTCTCGTAGAAATTGATCACCACGGCGTAGTTATTATTTCCTGACATGATGCTCTTTAGAATTTTCTAAACTGGAGGATTTGAAAGAGTCGTAATAAAAATCACAAGATATCGAAGGCGGGAGACGTTCGCGAAGACGAAAACGATGTGCATCCGCAGGAGATCGAAACTTCTACGTCAAATCTTTTCAGGTTTGTAAATTGGAGGAGTGCATAAAATTGTCGTGGAACGTCGATCACATGTGCACTGTTTACCTCCAAACCCCCTGCGATGTGGAAGTGTTTCTTGACAGGCAATTTGATGTCGTGTGCTCTGGCTGCAGTTCCGCGCGAACTATCACACTAATGAAATCAACCTTTTCCGGAATACTATTGTGCGTCGCGCTCGCGCGCCAAAGTTCGTCCGATCCGAGAGGGCATAAATAGCGAAAATACGCGCGCTTCTTTGCGTTTGTTAGCTTTATATTTCAAGCAAACAAGTACATTTGAAATTTGCTTCTCCCCTTCACAGTAGCACATAGTGCCAGAGACGATTTGCCCTAATAAGAATGGCAAAAAAGGTAGACAAATGGGGAGAAGAAGGATTGTACGGTAATATAAGATATATACACTATATAAGGTAGTATTAGCAGAGGATGCGGAGCGACTTCCAAAGTGGGGAGGGGGGGGGGGGGGGGGGGGGGGGAGGGGGGGGATTGAAGGTCTGAAAATTTAATTGCGAGGGAGCAAAGCGAGCGAGGAAAATTTTAAAGATTTGGGAGGTCGTAGTGCAAAAAATTACATTTTATGAAGAGGAAAAACCCAAATTTGATGGGCTTATAAGCACATTCTCATAACGCAAGACGGAAAAGACCTTTGATAAGTTACATTTATTATAGCATCTAACTACGAGCGAGCTTTGGGGGGAAATTGCTCTTAGTCGCTTGAAATTAGGGGCACGTTTAATGATCAGAGGACAAGGGGACACTTATCGAAAGAGTTAAGACTAAAAGTAAAACGATTATCTCTCAGAATTGAATAGGGTCATTTACAAGAGATGAAAAGGGGCACTTATGAGAATGAAAAGAAACTATTTTCATAGATGAAAAGGGGCATTTATGAAAAGGGAAAGGGGCTCTTTTTTAAATGGGGGCACTTATCATAAGGAAAAGGGGCACTTATTAAAAAGGAAAGAAGGCACATGTGAAAATATAAGGTGCGCTTATCCGAGTTAAAGAGGGGTAGTTATTAAAAGGGGAAGGTGCATTTTTTACAATTGAAAAGGGGAAATTGTCAAAGAAAAATGGGAACCTCTCAGATTTGAATAGGGCAATTATCAGAGGTGAAGGGGGTGCTTATCAAGAGTGAAAAGGGGCGCTTATCAAAAGTGGAAAGGGGCGCTTGTCGTACCCGAAAAGAGGAACATACTAAAGATTAAAAAAGGCATTTATGAGAATGGAACATCGGACACTTATTGCAAAGGAAAATGGGATCTTGTCAAAGGAAAAAATGGGATCTTGTCAATGGAAAATGGGTACGTGTCAAAATAGAAGAGGCACTTATCAAAGATGGAAAGGGGAAGAGGCAATTAAAACAATTAAAAGGGGCACTTGTCAACTTATTAAGGGGACACTTTTCCTATGTAAAAAGGGGCACTTTTGGGCTACTTGAAAAGGTGGTAGGGCACTGTGCCCCCTGACCCGGTAGCGCCGCCTCTAAATAGTAGTTGTAGTAGTAGTAGTAGAAGTAGTAGTAGTAGTAGTAGTAGTAGTGGTAGTATTAGTAGTAGTAGTGATAGTGGTAGAAGTAGTAGTAGTAGTAGTAGTAGTAGTAGTAGTAAAAGAGTAAAAGAAGAAGAAACAGAAGAGGGTAAGGAAGAGGAAGAAGAAAAAGAAGAAGAAATTAGAGAGGATTAGAATGAAAGTGAGATGGACTAAAAATAAGAATCAAAAGAATAAGAAGCAGTTGAGGGAAAGAGAGAAAAAAAAGGGGAGGGGGTAGGCCTAGCTAATTCATTTGAATTTGCTTTTCATTTGTTGTGAAAATGAAACTGTCCTTGCTAAATTGGTAGGTACATTTAAAATATAAACATTCCTGGCCAACTTACTTTTGTTCCAAAATAACATGAATATAATACAACATTTTAGTCTCCTTAGGAAAAACATCAGGCCAAATCAAGCCAAAGATCTAGGGTCTCAGACAAAGGGTTTCTTACCATATAGTTAGTTGTACTTTTTTCCAGTAATGTTATGTTTCTTTTTGTGTATTCGGATGCAATCTAATTATCCTGATTGCGTCATGTGATTATTGAGGAAGATGATACAAAGTCAATTTACCTTCCGCCTAGCTTCTTATATTAACAAAGTTACGTTAACATTACGTAACAGTGCCAGTGAAAGGGAAATCATTTGTGCTACGGTCACAAAGGTTCGTATGAACGATAATTTCGTACGAATCTCCCTGTTTTTCCATTGTCTTCCCGAATTTCCATTGTCTGAAAATCGTTTGTTCGGCGTTCGTAGCAGTTCGTAATGGCATTTGTGACCGAGGCTTAAGGTGGCATCATGTGATTCGGGGCAGTGGCGTAGCGTGGGCTCAGCCATTGTGGGAGAGGGGAGGTGGGCAGGCGTTAGTCTACCAGCTCAGTGTTTTTCAACCTTTTTTAAAGTCAAGGCAGCCTTCGAGGAGTTGAGAAGTTTCGCGTCATCTCAATCCAAATTTTTTTTCTCACAATTTCACTTTTTGTCATTCTATGTTTGCATCATTATACAGGGTATAAGATTGAAGGTCACAATGGTTTTAACCTTTTACTTAGAAGCTATCCAAGTTGGGTACACTTTTTTGTATACGCCCTGTGTCAAATTACACGGTCGTTTAATTGCCAGGAATTATACTGATTTATCAATTTGCAAAGCGATCGAAGCGAACAATGTAGATAAGATCCAATTTTGCACTTCGTGCACCATAGTATAATAACACAGGTATTAAATTTGTCCTTGATAAACATTACCTAGACCGAGTTCGATACCCTCATTTTTTAAATTACTGTATAATAATTTTGTTTAAATCATTACCTTGTGTTAAATGTACTCGTAGCAAAGATGTGTTTGTATGTTTGCCCAGTGTGTGCTTGTTGTTTTATATCATGTGTACCATTGGCAAGATTCCAAGTCAAACAGATATGTATTTTCATCATCGAACTTGTGTATCTATGTCCTATCTTGCCAATAGCAGAAATAATACATTAATTTTTCTGAAATTGACAACCCAGATACGAAATACCTGGCTTCTCATGAACTTGATAATTATTAGAAAATGAGGGTGAAACCAGTTTTATTTTGTAGAAGCCTGAGAGCGAATTCTGATGATGTAAATATATTTCTAGGATCTTTTAAAAACAGTTTTCCTTTATCGGTCTGACTGAAAAATGCATTAAAACATGATGAACCACCTTTTCCCCGATTACCTGATTATACATTTGTAACCAAGTTTCGCAGTGTCAAACGCGGAGGCGGTTTGGGAATATATTACAAATCAGACATACAATTTCAAAGAGGAATGGATCTGGAGGAATGAAATAGTAGTACCGAAGTTTTATGTATCGAAACACGCTGCAACAACAAGACTGGGAGTTTACTAGAGAGTAATGCTAATGATAATACTAGATTTGACACCTTTCTTGATATTCATACTGTATAAGTCTTGTTTTCCTGTAAAAAACAAAGTAGATTCAAGAAAGGAAAAAGATAATAAACCGTGGTTAATGCTTTCTTGAAGAAATTATCTAAAAGGATAAATGTATTAAATCGCAAATATGTTTAAAAAAAGAAAGAAAAAGAATTTCAATACTGAGCTAAAGTATAAACAAGCCAGGAATACGGTTTACAGAGAAAATTGAAGAGTAAGCGTGAAGAAATTATGAAGAAATTTGGTAATAAGGTAAATGGTGATTGCAAAGCACTTGGAAGGCAATAAAGTTCATTGTTAGTCTATAAAGGCTGATGGCCAATTATAATAAGATAAGCAGGAGATTGTTAATAGATTTAATGAATATTTTAACACTGCCGGTACCAAAATAGTTCAAAACTTTTTAAAGAAGACACATTTAAAGTCCATGTATTTAAGTGTATTACAACTACTGAGATTTTAAATATTGTAAATGCTTTTGAAGACACCAAATGTCCAGGTAGTGGTGGCAGGCGCGTACGCAGGGGGGGGGGGGGGGTGGGGGGTTTAGGGGGTTGAACCCCCCTTCAGTTTGTTTTATGTGTGTATTTTTGAGCAAAACACCCCCCTTTGTGATTTTTTTTATTTTTTATTAAAAAAAATTTAAAAAAAATTATGCCCATGGCTGACCTAAAAAAGATGACCTCACCCCCCCAAAAAAAACCAATTCACTTTTATGAACAATTATACGTCGGATGAGTTGTCCATGCATGTAGGGTACTCCTTTAAAAAATATTTATCAATGACCTCCAATGTGTTAGTTCAAGAATATTCAGTTCCCACAAATAAAAAATAACAAAGAAAATGCAATACATTTTCAATAATTCATTGAATTTTACCCCGGTCCCTAACTTAAAAAAATCCTCTGTACAACCATGCATTATGGCTCAAGGCATGGGCACGCAGAATATATTTTTTATGTTGGGGACCGGGGGGAAATTCAATGAATTATTTAAATTTATTGCATGTTCTTTTCTTTTTTTATTTGTGGGAGCTGCCCCATACCCTAGCCCCCGCTGCGTACAGTCATGGTTCAGTGGCAAAGCAATGGCCTCGTAACTGTGAGGCCCCAGGATCAAAACCGTGTCGATGTTCCATATTAGTGCCCTTTTGTGGGGCATTAATCCTCATTACTGTCATTTATGACTTAAGGGCGTAGGTCCCCTAGTTGATAAGCATAGTAGCATTCACATGATTTAGCAGTCACGCAAAACAAACACTGGCAAATTATTATTCAATAAAATCTGAGAATGTATACTATTATCTAGATCTATTAGGAATAAATCATTGTCAAAATAATTCCATAACATTTGAGGTAAAACAAAAATATTCTAACTATATGAGCGACAGTGTATTTTCTCACATCTCAAAACTTGATTCTTCCACCTGGCCAAAAATAAGTATTTGGAAAATATACCAATATTTCTATAGGTTTGGAAATAGTTATATACGGTAACATTTCTGTGTCCGTTCGTTTTTAAAAGATCAACTGTCAATGTAAATAATTGTATACTTGTTTATGCACTCCACATTTTTAACAATCAGTTCCTGTACAGATTTATTGTGATTTTTGGTTTTGTTTGAGTTTAGATCTACAGTAGTAGGGGAACCTATGGGAA